CCTAATCCCGCTATTGGTTTGTATGTGCCTAGCGCCTTAACAGCCTCGTTGGATGAATCTTTTTCCAGATTGGACGATTCTGCGGTACTCCGCGGCGCGGACGCCAAACAGCTCCGAGATGCCACTTCTGCGGCGATCACCAATGTGTGGAAAGAAGCTACGCTCCAGACTACCGCCTTAGCTAGAAAGATAAATGAGGGTAACACATCATTGTCTCGCAAATTGAATGAGTCCTTTTCAGCAGTGGGGAGCCGTCTTGACGCACTCCCTACCATTGCGATGCTCGGTTTGGAGCCGCAGACTCCCAGAGTCACTCCATTTTCTGGGACAGCGGAGGAAGGCACACAGTTCTCTGTGTGGCTCCGTCGGCTAGAGGATGTTATTCGAATGCGCCCCACGCCCCTCACCTCGGAGCAGCGAGCCAACTTCCTAATCGGACATTTAGACGGGGTCGCCCGCGAAAAGGTTGAGGAGCTCAGCGAGAGCGCCCGGAAGAGCTTCGATGCTATAGCCAGCCACTTGAGGGCTTTCTTTGAAAGCCCACAACAGAAGTATGTGGCTCGCCAGAAGCTCTCCTCATGCCGCCAGGAACCCGGGGAGTCTTCGGCCACCTTCGCCAACAGGGTCCTTAATTTGGTTAGGGCAGCAACCGCGGGGCAAGACACTGCCACTCAGAAAGAACGCGTTTTAGAAGAGTTTGTAGCCCGCTTACGTAGCGATATAAGGTACTTTGTGAAACTAGACAATCCCTCTTCCTTCGAGCAAGCAGTTACTAAGGCGCAGATGGTAGAGCAGTTGCTAAGCGAAGCCACAGCTGAACGCCTTATCAACCCCACTTATCCGGTAGCCGCGGTGAACGCGTTAGGTGGTAGGCTCAGCGATCGGGCTCAGGCAACTGAAAGTTCTCATAGTAGAAGCAATTTTCGAGAAAGCTATCGCCGCTTTGACAATAACCAACGTCGTCGCTTTCAGGGCAACGTACCGCCGCGTCAGGAGGCTCGTATGGGACCGTCTCGATGCTACAATTGTGGAAGGACCTCACACTTCGCGTACCAATGTCGGGCACCAGTGCCCCAGTCCAACAGGAAGGACAACAGGTCAGTCCCTCGTTCTGCTTATTCCGTCTCTAACCGCCGTTCTCGTCAACCCCCGCGCCGCGATAATGCCCAGCTTCTGACCTGCGAGGTCCCCTCGTGCTCCATTTTACCACAGGAGGACCCGGCCGTGCGCGCCGCTCAACAACGCATTGCGGACTTGTCTTTAGCGGTGGGTCAGTCGCGGGCGGAACTAGACCAGTCTCGAGCCCGGATAGCCGCCCTGATCCAGCGTAACGAGGAGCTAGCTCAGGTCGCTTTCGACAGTAAACGTAATTCCTCATCTAGCGGTGCTAGGGTGCCGAGCGTCCATGCGCTGTTCATCGGCTGCTTGGCCCTGGCGAATGTGGTGGGTTCTTCCGCATCGGCGGACGCTTGGCTTTGTCCATCTGGAAATCCCACTAATCTCTTCTTCGTCCCCTCGGTTTATAACTGCTCGCGACTTCTCCCTAATGGTACGAAACTGCTGCAATCCGTGTCTTTGCACGTCTACCGACCCAATACGAAACGATACTCTACCACAGCGTTTCTGTGCAAAATTGTGCGCTATTCCGTTACGTATTCCACTAGCTTTTTCGGGGCACATACAGAGATCCATGACGAGAAGCTCCTTCCGGTGTCGGCAGAAGAGTGTAAACTTATGTCACGGCACAGGCGTTGTGCACATGGCGATTTGTCCCTATATGGCAGCGTGTGGAGAACCTCCAACAAACTCGTTTTTGAGTTTCCTTCAGCCCCTTTTGGCTGTTGTGTGGATCATGAAGTTACGGTTTACAACTGTTACCTCTTGGAGGCAGTAGTGCACACGCGCCACGGAGAGGAAGTCCCGGATTCGGCTGTCGGCGACCTTCGTTCCTGTCGGTACAAGGATGGCTCATGTATTCTGCCCGATGCATCGGTACTCATTTGGACCCCAGATCAAGAGGAGGGATGCCGCTTCATCCCGGTTGCTAGAATGAAGGGCTTCTTGATGGGCAACGTGTGGATAAGTGAATCAAAGGAATTTGCCCTGTCCTGGACTGACTCGAGTCAAACTGTTTTTGACTGTTCCAAACAGCTAACCGTTACCGACCAGGGTTACGCCATTGCGAGAGTCCGACGCGTCGCACGAGCAGGGAACGTAGACGCTGTAGTAGTGGGCGCCGGTTTGGTCACTACAAATCAGCTGTCCGCCCAGTTGCTAGCAGTCGAAGGAGCGGTGCAAGACGCAGTAGCAGCATTGTTCACCCACGCCGTCCAAGCCCTTTGCGAAAGGACCAATGTCTTAGCCATCGCCCTCCATGCCGCTCTTAGGACCAACCCTACCCTCACTATGCGGAGGCTTACTGGACGCAGTGATTTGACAGCTACTCACCTTGGTAATGGCTTCGTCCAGGTTCGCCGCTGTGTTCCGGTCCCACCTTCCTCGCTGAGCCTTCAGCCCTTCAACGGGTCGTGCTACGCCTATCCTCAAGTAACTATTCGTTTGCGCAGTGGCTCGGTTTGGCGGGCTTTTCTCAACCCGTTTACGGGCGTCGTCGTCAGCCGGGCCCCAAGGATCGACTGCGCAGACGCGACTTCGTTCGTCTTGTCCGCTAACTCCACTCTACTTCAGTTTTTCCCTATAAGCGGCGAGTTGTCCCCCGTTCCCATGCACCACGTCCGATCTGTTGCTCCCTTCTCTCCTTTGGACGCCCTTCAGTCCTCTCCCAAACTCACTGTATTCCACAACCTCATCCTCACGAATTTCAGCGAGTTTGTGTCCGATTCGCAGTTCCAAGAGATGTGGACAGTTAGGGACCAGGAGAAGCTCATCGACCACATAGCGCAAGTTCATCTCGAGGCACCCGCTTCCACGGGGACTGGTTCGTCGTCGGACTTCCCCTTCCCCTCGTGGCCATTCTCTCTCCCGTCCCCATTCGAGATTTGGGTGTTCTGTTGCTGTTTGGTGGTTTCGCTGAAGGTAGCCAGGGTGGTGCTTATTACCTACCTGGGTGTTAACTACTCGGGGCTGGTGCCCCTCTTCCAGAACCTATCATCCTCGCACGCGCCTACTGCGCGGGTCGCTAGGCCATGCACGCCGCCGAGCTCACCCGAGAGGTCCCAGGCGCTTGCCCTCCGTCCCATGCGGCAACTGGATTTCGGAATCTCAGAGGTTGAAGTGCCAGACATTTGGTCTTCCCGCGCTTCCGCGGTTGCGGTGCAAGTCCTGTCGTTGGGATCCGAACGTAAATTTTTCGTAACCCAAATCCCAGTCCGTGTTAACAAACTTAGGCTGCTCGCACTCATTGACACTGGGGCGGGTATCACAGTTGCGAGCCAATCGCTCCTTTCCTTACTAGGAATTTTCAAGCTCGATGCTTGCGTGGTCCCATCCGCGATAGGGATGGCGGGCATTCCGGTCAAATTTGTCGGAAGCGCCGTCGTGGATCTGGAGGTAGGTAGTGCGCAACTTAAGCAAACGGTGCATTTTACGGAGGGCCAGTGTGTTCCGGTCCAAGCAGACTCTTACGACCTCATCCTGGGAAATGACGTTTTGTGCCGCTTACCGGCCTGGTCACTCGACTATGAAAACCGCTTGTTCCATGTAGGTTCAGACCACGTGCAGATTTTCTCCGGCGCCCTTCCAGCCCCACCTAGCACCTGCCGTGGGGGAGCAGCGGTGCGCGTCGCCGAAACTACCGTTCTTTCGCCTAATTCCGAGACAATAGTCCCTTGTTATGTGGAGGATGTGCCCGAAAATACCACTCTGTGGACTCTTTCGAGCGAAGTGGGAGGTTACGACCCCTTCTACGTAGCTCCTACAGTAGTACTCTCCGCCGCACCCCGCTTATTAGTCACTAATCCCACGGGGTCGTCGCACGTTGTGTACAGGAACCAGCGATTAACAGAGGGGTTTAGACTTGAGGTTGCAGACAATGGGACCCTTAGTGAACCCTTACCAAGTTTTTAGCGCCTGCATTCTCGCCACTACTGAGGCTAGCGGAGCTGATGGCTCCTACCAAACAGCTTGTTCATTTTCCGTGGATTTAACGCACGCTGAGGTAGATGAGGACCAGCGACGGCAGTTAAAGAAACTCTTTGAAGAATATCGGGACCGCATATCCACGTCCTCCTATGACCTGGGCTCCTATGAGCTATCACCTATTACCATTAAAACCACAACCGAAATTCCTCCGTCCCGATATAGACCCACGAGGATACCTACTCGCTTTCAGAAAGAGTTGGACGATCATATCAACAAACTCCTGAAGGCCGGTAGAATTGTTGAGAGCGACACGCCTTGGGTTCACAATACGGTCCTGGTCAGGAAGAGGGATGGTTCCCTGCGCGTTTGCTTAGACTTCCGCCCTCTCAATGACATCACCATCCCTGACCACTACCCCCTTCCGAGGATTGAGGATCTACTGGAAAAAGTAGCGGGTCACCGATTTTACACTACTTTGGACTTGGCCTCAGGATACATGCAATTGTTGTTGGATCCTAAGAGCCAGGCCAAGTGCGGTTGGGCGACGCATAGAGGGATTTACCAGTTTGTATACCTTCCCTTTGGTCTCCGTAACGCTGGAGCCTACTTTTCTCGTGCGATGGCTCGAATCCTGGGAGGACTTGATGGAAACTGTTTGGCTTATCTGGACGATATCATTGTTTTTGACAAGGACTTTCCCTCTCATCTTAACTCGCTCCGGAAGGTCTTCGAACGCTTCCGATTGTATAACATAAAGGCCTCAGGTAAAAAGCTCACAGAAATAGCGCGGTCCAAAATCACTTTCTTGGGGCACGAGATTTCAGGCACTAGCTACTGCCCGGCAGAACGCAACATTCGCGCCATTCGAGACTTGCAGCGTCCAAAAACCGTAAAGGATGTGAAGGGGTTCATTGGCATGGCGAACTTCTTTCGTAAGTTCATCAAAGGCTTTGCCGCAATGGCTTCGCCCCTTTACGATTTATGCAAAAATAAAGCTAAGTTCGAGTGGACTCCTGCCCACGAGAAAGCATTTGTCTCCCTCAAGGAGGCACTTGTTTCCCGGCCATGTTTGGCCTTCCCGCGAGACTGTGATTTTATCCTCCACACGGATGGTAGCAAGGTCGCAGTAGGGGCGGCTTTGCTACAGCAGCAGGAGGGTTCATCCAAGCTCGCGGCGGTGGGGTATTTCAGCAAGACCCTATCCGACTCCCAGCGGAAGTGGAGCCCCACCCATATTGAGCTCTTTGCAATGGTCACTGCGCTGCGTTTCTTCCGTACCACCATATATGGCAACCTCACGCGGATCTATTCCGATCATAAACCTCTCACCTTCTTGCTACGCCACAACAAAACGCATGATAATCTCGCGAGATGGGCAGTAGAACTCCAGAGCTATAACATCAAAATAGAGTACCTTAAAGGTTCCTCTAACGTAGTGGCTGATTTCCTCAGCCGAACGGAATCTGATACACACCGGTTCCAGGATGGTACCCCAGAATCGGAGGATATTGTCGAATTCCCCGTTTGCCTAGCTCAGACACCTGACCCAGCGCCCCTACGCATTCGACCTTACGATATTCTCGTTGAGCAGAAACAAGATCCTTTCTGCAACATTATAATGCATTTTTTAGAAATGGGCGACTTTCCTCAGGCAACGCCCGAAGCCGACAAGGACAA